CCTAGTAAATTCAACATTGTTTTCTAATACAAGGCTTAGAAATGGTAGGTGCAATGGGTGGTGCCTGTGGCTCAAGGAGTAGGGCACCTGCCCCATATGCTGGAGGTGGTGGGTTCAAACCCAGCCCCAGCCCAAAACTGCAAACAAACAAACAAAACACAGAAATGGTAGGTCCAATGGGCCCTTTTCCTGGGAAGCCTTTCTCCGTTTCTCAGGGCTGGGGTCGGTGTCCTTGCTTAGGGCACAACGTGCCTCCTACCAGCAACAGAGAAAATACTTAGTAGCTGTGCAAATTCTCTACTAGACTATAAACTCCATGAAGGCAGAGACTGTTTCTGTTCATATTATCTTCATTTATTAAATACATATTAACTTGTTGTGATCTCTCAAAAAAACCTGTATGAACTTTTATGTTTTTAATAATATAGCTTCAAAAGTCCTGAAGCAAGAAAAATGACAGAGCTCTTGAAGAGAGCTTGAAAATTTCACTACACAGAAGGCTTAAATGTTCATTTCCTATTTATTAATTCTTAAGCAGACTTCAAAAATTAGTGAGCTTATGGAAAATTTGAAGACATAATAAGCAAACCTATTCTAATATTTAATAAAGGATATTACCCCTTTAATAAAGCATAAACAAGATCATATGCAATTGTCTCAAGCCCTGATCTTAAGGCATTTAACCTGGGAATCAGTAAACAAAAAGATATATTTAAAAAAAAAGTTTGGAACTTCCAAAAAAACTTCAAGATAAGAACCTTTCCACAAAAGATCCACCAAGTCCAGAAATGACTTTTACCCATCTACCAAACATTCAAGGATTAGATGAAATACTTTGGGTAATGAAAATATGGGCTCAGCGCCTATAGCTCAACTGGCTAAGGCGCCAGCCACGTACACCTAAGGTGGTGGGTTCGAATCCCCAGCCCGGACCCGCCAAACAACAATGACGGCTGCAACCAAAAAATAGCCGGGCGTTGTGGCGGGCGCCTGTGGTCCCAGCTACTTGGGAGGCGGAGGCAGGAGACTCGCTTGAGCCCAGGAGCTGGAGGTTGCTGTGAGCTGTAATGCCACGGCACTCTACCCAGGGGGACAGCTTGAGGCTCTGTCAAAAAAAAAAAAAAAAAAAAAAAAAAAAAGAAAATATGGTTATTATTACTATGTTTGCTGCTTTTTTTTTTCTGTAGAATGACATATTCCTAATGGAAATATTGGTCATTCATTTGAATTTGTCTCTATACAATTTAGATTAAGATTCTAATATTAAACAAGTATAGACATATATGCCTATGCGTGTGTATCTCACACGTAAGCACTAGAACCTGCACTATACCTACTAATGTTTTCAAAATAGAATCAAGTTATAGAAATTCAAAGAAAAAAGAAAAGCTGTCTAATTCAGCATCTACTTACAATTTTCCCAGTTACAAACTAGAAGACTAAAAAAACACCAAATCTTACCATCTATAAATTAATTTCAATAGTGACATCTCATATCTTCACCTCCATAGGAAAACTGAGCTTTAATTGGAATTTTATCAAACGATTAAAAAAGTACAATGGGATGATCCGTTGAAACCCACAGTATACAAACAAACTCAGAAAATCAAAACAGTGAATTGAACTTCAGCTTCAGTTAATGCAAAGAGGCTATGCTGAAACTGAAGGGCAAGGAAAGGTCGATCTTTCTCGATTTGTTATTTTTATAGATGTAACTAGAGAAAAGAAACAAGAGCCCCAAATTGTATGTTGGAACAGAAAAAGAGAAATTACTGCATTGTAATTCCTTGAAAACTCTGGAATGCATTATATTAAATTCTGTTGTATGTTATGTGGTTCACAAATCAAAATTTTAATCCAAGTTTGGAAGAATGAGAGGCTTCTTAAAATTCTATTAAGATGATGTATAAAAAAGAGGTCCCCGTTACAATATGCTCCATTTATAGACCTTTGCATTTGGCAAGAAGACTTTTCTTTTTATCTTAAAATAGAGTTCAGGAAATGCTAGTTTAATTTTCTCTTTGCTTCAACATTTCATGGACATTTTTCAAGGCATTATCTCTGAAAGGGTTAGATTACTGACATGACACTATTTCAGATGATTTGGAAGATTTTACTTGTATGAATTCTGCATGTTGGAATTTGTATGTTTTTCTTTAATGCTTAGGAAAAGGCTGTAATATACACAAGTATATTCTAATTCTTTATATAAACACATCTTACATTGACATCTAATGTGCTTTTAAAAAATGTTCCCCAAAGCTTAGTATTATTTTAAGAAATAATTATTCCTCTTAATCACAGCAGAATCCCTCTCTTCATATAATGGATTTTTACCAATAGAAGGACAAAAATACTTTCAAACAGAAGAGACCTGGGTCCTCACATATCCAAATAAGCAAAGCAAATCTATTGTTTTGTCAATGAAAGCATCGCCGCATTTCTCTATGCCTGTGTTCCCACCACATCACAAATTCCTATCTATACAAAATCCCAGAGCTACAAAAACTACATGTAGGGAGCACACTTGCTTTGCCGGGCCAAAATAATAATTAACAAGAGCACACTTCCTCGGTTTGGGTCCTTTCAGTATGCTCTTACTTCCTTCAAAAATCCACGTGTATATAAGTACTTAGGTTTTAAACCAAACGAGGAAGGACACACGTTCATAAATACCTGATAAGTGACTTATCATACACACCCAAATGGCAGATATCTTTATGACTTTTTTTTAAACAAACATGCTATGCTAGTGTGCTATTTCTTCAAATGCTCCTAAGCATATTTTGTTGAATGGCTGCAAAGGTGTTTTTGGTGCATTGGGTACTGTTTATATGCTTATAGTTCTGTAATTAGAAAATAAAATATACTATCTCATTAGTTCTTGGGCCCTTCCTCTAATAGTACCAAGGACTAATAACCCACTGGCTGGATTAGACATGTTTGCAAGGCTCATATTGAAGAGTTTCATTCTCATCCCCAAAAGGGCTAGAGCACAACAGTATCTCCTCATAAATTTAGAGATGGCTAAATAATTAATAACTCTGGTGTGACAACACACAAGTAACCAGCCAAGCTTACTACCGGATTTAAATAGCAAGCCCAGGAGCTGTTGAATATTGAATATCATTATGATTATGGTGTTTTAACAGACAACCATTAAAAGGCAGTGATTGTTAATCTAATCAAAGGAAAAAATACATATATATAGACACATATATATGTATTTTTTAAAAGAATGAAAGATCTAGCATGTTTATGTTTTGGAAAACAAAAACCAAACATCTCTGTTCAATCACCTTGGACACTGTCCCGTACCCTACAATAACAAAAGGTGTGAAAGAAAGATCGTTTTGGTTTCTATCAACTTCTGCAGAATCGGCTTTAGAGGCACAATTCACGCACCCATCACCTTTGCTATTACCTACCTATTACCTACCTATCACCTATTACCTACCAACTTAGGAGGTCAGTCTTCTCTGCTGCCGCTGCACACTCTACTACAAAGCCAGTCAGCGTCTGTCTTCCCTTGTCTGTGTCACCTAAAGCCTTGTGCTCTACAGGTCCTCTAACATGGTTTAAAGATAGATTTGCACCAGTCACTCTTTGCGCACTTAAGGTGAGACATGCCATCCAGGTGATGCTTTTGTTGCCCGAGTGACACTCTGAGGCAGAGATTCACTTCAGCATGTCAGCTCCCTCAACATGTCAAGAAATAGCAAAGCCAAATCCCAGATGTGGGCTGTTTAATCCCACCGTCGCAAAATAAACCATGTGGTCCCAGTAAACACAACCACCCATTAGAGCTAAGAAGAGGTGATAGGAACCATTTGTTAAAGATGACGACATTCTGAGTGATAATATTCTTTTCATTGTGTGATTCATTTTGTTTGCTCTAACTACACGGTTATGAGTTTTCCTGAGAGGAAGAACTTCAATATATATATATTTACTTAGAGCTTTCAATTTATACTTCCTTTCCTTTTAATTGGTGTCTTGTGATCTAAAATTAGCTAGTGAACACAGTATCTCACTCAAACGCTCTCAGCTGAGTTTTCAATAATTAGACCCACCGTCGCCTGGAGTTGAACAGACATCTGGAGACTTGGCTTTTTATTTCCTCCCTGGTGCTTTCTATTCATATTTAGAGAGTGATTTTTTTATTTGACATATAGTCATATTAATTATTATCCCCCAAGTTGGAGTTAGGTTAATAATTTCATGTAAAAAGTAAAGTCCAAACAGTCTTGCCTGTAACCTTACTGAATAAAGAGCCTACACGAAAGGAATTCATGAAACCCGAGATGGTCAGAGCTCTGTCATTCACCAATAAGCTGGAAATCACTTACACAAGGAATAAAAGGTCACGTGTCCTCTAAAATCCCACGTTTGCTACAGACATTCCTCTTTCTATTCCTTTGTTTGTGCAGTAACTAGATACAGGCACAATGAGAGTGAACTA